TCTGCTGGCCTTCATATATCATCTTTGGTTTCTATGAAACACCCAAAAATTGCATTTAATTTCTCATGCCAACCCACGGTATATTGGAACTGCGATGGGGAAAGTCGTAATGTGGAAAGGATGAATGTATTTTACATTAAAAACTTCATATGAATAAAATCAATGTAGCCAAGATTTATTAAAAAAGCAGAAAATTGGGGGAAAAACTTTCATAGACAGTCTCTCAGATAGGATATGATTGTGATGGAATACAGCTGTGGTATAGGAAATGATGAGCTGGTTGATTTAAAAAAACATGGAAAGACTTGGACGTATGAAGGTGGATGCTATCTACCTCCAGAGAAAGAACCGATAAAAAGAAATATGTATAGTAGGGTCATATATAAATGTATGTGTGTATATATTCATGTTTAATTGTAACCATTCTAGGGCTGGAGGCGGGAAGAAGGAGGGAGAAAAAAATAAAAAGTACATAGCAGAGAATGAAAGAAAACCTAGAAGGAAGCACAGAAAACCTGGGTTGCTTTGAAAACAATGTATAGGACAAGGGTGGGGAAGCTGTTTCCTTTTGACTGAATCCACAAAGGATTTTTTCTGTAAAATTTGAACCTAGGACCTACAAGGCTACAGGTTCCCCACCCCTAGTGCAGGATTTATTACATAGGTTTGGGGAAAATGGAAATTTATTGTTTTATTATTTTGTATTTTTTTTGTTTTATTGTTTTATATTGAATCCTCATGTTCTGCTGTGTAAATGGTTTTTTTTTTCACTTTCTCATTTTGTATTTGTTTACAATGAATAAATTTTTTTTAAAAATATCATAATCTCTGATAAAGTGAATCATCTGCATGTGATGAAAATGCAAGAAGATGAAATAGAAGACCACCAAAATGCAAGCCCATGTTGTGCCTGTAGCAAGTTGGAAATCTAGATGACCCTTCTCAAGCAGAGATGACCTTCTCATCAGGTTCTTCTCGGATCTGGCCAGCCTGCCATGTATATGTACTCATTCTCTTAGTTCTTGTTATCCCAAGTTTCTACAGTTCTAGGAGTGTGTTTAGAGCATTTATTTCTCATCAAGATGACTTAGCTCAAACAAAATGCAAGTTAATGAAATATTGCTTTTTTAATCAATGAAGGAAGTTTTTTTTCTTCATCACTTACTCTTGTTTACTGTAATCAAATGTTTTAACTAAGGAATATATGCTATAGACAAAGGCAGAAGCTGTTTTGGCTATCACACATCATCCCCAGAGACCTCCAAGCCCTCAGTGTAACAACAGATAACTTTTCTTCACTTCCATGGAAACCATCTCATACCACTCAGTGCAGTCCAGACTCTGATGAAGGTCGCATTAGATTCCTCCTCATGTTTTCATCCAGATAACACTTTATTCCAGCCTCTCAGGAAACAAACTAGATCTTTTGTTTAACTTAATTCTTTTAAGTGGTCACATAAAACTTTTTTTGCCCAGTGTACTCTGTGCTCACCAGCTTCTCACAAACTCTTTACAGAGTTTTCTTTAGAATATATCACTTAGGGGGGTGGAGCCGAGATGGCGGAGTGAAAGCAGTGACTTGCTTGAGCTCTCCCCCAAACCCCTCCAAATACCTATAAAAAATGACTCTAAACAAATTCTAAAGCAGCAGAACCCACAAAAAGAGTGAAACAAATCTCTAGCCCAAGACAACGTGGATGGTTGATCAGAAAGGTATATATCACGCCAGGCTGGGAGCGGAGTGCAGTGCAACATGGGCACGCAGGCAGCATGGGGCCTAGAGAAGGCCTCAGAGGACTGAATCACAGGCAGCTGTGGCGCCTGCCAGACTTCTCAACCCAGGAACGCCAAAGACAGCTTAGAAGGTCAGTGGGAAAAGTCTGTTTTTGCAGTGAGAGAGGAGCTTGGTCTCCGAGCCAGTTCCAAAGCACAGGCACCAGGGCAGTGGCTACATCCTGAGCTTCCAGCCCACAGACTGAGGGGGAATCAGGTGGCTGATCAGAGGGGGATTGCAGGGATCTCTTTGCCAGTGCTGAGGCAGGAATCTCTTGCTTTGCCTGTGCTTAGATTTGGGTCACAGTTCTGAGGGGGCGGTCCTGGGGTGAGAAGGAGCCCTGGTGCAGTGGAGCTTGTAGTGGCTGTGGAGAGGAAACCTTCCTCACAGTTCCAGGACAGAAAGGAGTGCTTGTGATCACTTGTAGACCAGAACACAAGCCAGGAAAGGAGTAAACACCTCGTCCCTTATCATATTACCTTGTAAGAACTGAAAATTTACAGGTCCGTACAAGTATCTCTGAAAACAGCTGTATAAACCCCCAAAGCTTGGGACAGTACATTCTCCACATTGGAAGCAGATTCTCACCTTAACATAGAGTTTAAAACTCAAGTAATTGGCCAGGATCATGAGCAAGCAGCTCAAAAAGAGTCAGACTATATTATCTTACTTTGGTAACAAAGAAGATCAAAACATACAACCAGAAGAAAACAACAAAGTCAAAGCTCCTACATCCAAAGCCTCCAAAAAAATATGAATCAGTCCCAGGCCTATGAAGAGCTCAAAAGGGATTTTGAGAAGCAAGTAAGAGAAGTAGAGGAAAAACTGGGAAGAGAAATGAGAGTGATGCAAGAAAATCATGAAAAACAAGTCAACAGTTTGCTAAAGGAGACCCAAAAAATTACTGAAGAAAATAACACCTTAAAAAATAGCCTAACCCAAATGGCAAAAGAGGTCCAAAAAAGCCAATGAGGAGAAGAATACCCTAAAAAGCAAAATTGGTCAAATGGAAAAGGAAGTCCAAAAGACTACTGAAGAAAATACTTCCTTAAAAATTAGAATAGAGCAATTGGAAGCTAGTGACTTTATGAGAAATCAAGACACTGTAAAAAAACAAATTCAGAAGAATGAAAAATTAGAAAACAATGTGAAATATCTCATTGGAAAAACATTGACCTGGAAAATAGATCCAGGAGAGAGAATTTTAAAACTATTGGACTATCTGAAAGCCATGATCAAAAAAAGAGCCTAGACATCATCTTTCAAGAAATTATCAAGGAAAACTGCCCTCATATTTTAGAACCAGTAGGCAAAATAGAAATTAAAAGAATCCACCTATCTCCTCCTGAAAGAGATCCCCAAAGGAAAACTCCTAGGAATATTGTAGCCAAATTCCAGAGTTCCCAGGTTAAGGAGAAAATATTACAAGCTGCCAGAAAGAAATAATTCAAGTAATGTGGAAATACAATCAGGATAACACAAGATTTAGCAGCTTCTACATTAAAGGACTGCAGGGCATGGAATATAATATTCCAGAGAGCAAAGGAGATAGGATTACAACCAAGAATCACCTACCCAGCAAAACTGAGTATAATCCTTCAGGGGAAAAAATGGTCATTCAGTGAAATAGAGGATTTTCAAGCATTCTTGATGAAAAGACCAGAGCTAAAGAGAAAATTTGACTTTCAAATACAAGACTCAAGTGGAACATGAAGAGGTAAACAGGAAAGAGAAATCATAAGAGACTTATTAAGGTTGAACTGTTTACATTCCTGCATGGAAAGATGATATTTTTAAGTCATGAGACCTTTGTCAGTATTAGATTGGGGGGGGGATTATATATATGTATGTAGATAGATGGATAAATAGATAAGATAGATAGAGGGCACAGGGTGAGTTGAAGATAAAGGGGTCATATCTGGAGATAAAATTAAGGGATGAGAGAGGATTATACTAGGAGAAGAAGAAAGGGAGAGGTAGAATGGGGTAAATTATCTCACAAAAAAACCAACAGAGAAAAGAAAAGGCTCTTACAGTGGAGGGGAAACTGGGGAAGGTGAGAGGGAATGAGTGAATCTTATTCTTATAGGATTTGGCTTAAGGAGGAAATAACATACACATTCAGTTGGGTATGGAAATCTGTCTTACCTTACAGGAAAATAGGGGGAGAAGGGGACAAGAGAGCAAGGGGATGATAGAGAAGAGGGCAGATTGGGAAAGGGGCTAATCAGAAGCAAATACTTCTGAGGAGAACAGGGTCAAAAGAAAGAATAGAATAAATGGGGGGGCAGGATAGGATTAAGGGAAATAGAGTTAGTTTTTCACAACATGTCTACTATGGGATTGTTTTGCATAACTACACATGTATAACCTAAAAAAAAATTTTGGTTGAATTATGATATTGTTCTTCACATATTGATAACCCCTGCCTCTCTACAACTTAGACCTGTGGCCCCCAGTTCTGCCCATGAGTCCAAGAAGAAAAAGTCTAATTCCTGGTTCACGTGATTCAGTACATGAAGACAACTGTTCTATCCACCATAATTCTTTTTTGTCGAGATGAAATGAACTGATCCTTATGTGGCAGGATCTGTAGTTCTTTTCCTTCCTAGTTGCCCTCTTCCAAATGCTTTCCAGCTTATTTCTAAATTATATATTTGGATTTGGAATTACATATTTGGGTTTCTAAATTGTATATTTGGAAATAGGAGCGACCTCAGACTAACAAAGTCCATGAAGCCTGATCTGAAAAAAATTCCCTGTATGACAGGGATTCTTAAACTTTATTCTATCCTGGACACATTTATCAGTCTTGGGAAGCCTATGGACCCCTTCTCAGAATAATATTTTTAAGTGTTTCAAATAAAATGCATAGAATTATAAAACTCAAAAAAAAAAGAATATATCACTTAGATCAGTTCAGAGAAGGCAGGAATTTCCCATCGTCCTCTCTCTTGCTCCTCTGCAGATCCACACACAAACTTTCCTCGATTCCACAGGGAGACACATTTTGTAGTAAGAAGATGATATAAAATGCTTTTCTTAAAATTCCATCAGGCTCTTAGTGACTGTGGTTTCAAGAGTTGACTCTGGAACTCATAAAGGGAATGACCTTTGGCCAATTCCCTTCTCTGTGCTTCAGTTTCCTGCTGTAAATTGATGAAGGTTGGGCTGTTTATTCTGAAGTGTCATTCAGGTCTTTGTCCTGTGATTTTTGATGATTTAGGAGTCGGTGACATTCAAGGATGTAGCTGTGGACTTCACCCAGGAGGAGTGGCGCCTCTTGGACCATCCTCAGAAGTTGCTGTACAAGGAGGTCATGCTGGAGAATGCCCAGAACCTGCTCTCCCTGGGTAAGGACACTTGCCATGGTAACTCTGAGTCAGCAATCAAATGGAATATCTTCATTTCCTACTATGAAGGATTTGGAGCATTTATCAGTTACTGGAAAGGAAAAGTGCTAGTCTCCTGTGTCCAAGATACAGGGTCCTCCTCCTGTCTGGTTTTCCTATAAAAGGGCTTTGAATTGCGTGGTAGGAACCTGAGGGTTTCCTTTGTTGCTTCTGATGCTGTCTCTTATTACCACTTCTAGGTAGCTTCAGGTCAAAGGTCCAGTTCATTGTGGAAGCATCTTAGACATGAAACTGATCTCAGAGGTCATTTAGTCCAACCTCTACCTGGACATGAATTTTGCTGCCAAATCTCTGAAAACTGAATCAACTTTTCCTTGCAGCCTCTTCCTCCCAGGGGTGGATCCAGTTTTGTAGATATTCTTCTTTTTAATGAGTATCAATTTGTAGCTCCCAACTCCTAGATATGCCCAGCATAGTAGGCTCAACCTTAGTCTTCCTTCATGTTGCCCTAAAATTCCAGTGCAGATGGTGGGAAGGGAAGGGAAGGGAATAAGCATTTATATGTACCTACTATTTGCCAGGAGCTGGGCCAAGTGCTTTCTTTACAATATTGTGTCACTTTGTCCTTACCATAACCTTCTATGTTGGGTGATATTATTGTCCTCTTTTGAGAGTGGAAAAAACTGAGGTAAACAGAGGTTAAGTGACTTGTCCAGGAGCACATAGCTGGTAACTGTCTGAGGCCAGATTTGAATTCAGGAATTCCTGACTGCAGACCCAGGGCTCTCTCCATTGCACCATCAGCTGCCTCTGATTTCTAGACAATGGAAACTATTCAATGAGTCCATCCTTCTATGAAGAAGGTGCACCAAGACCAAATTCTCTGACTCCAAATTGGCCCCATGATCTTCTCCCCAACACTCACCAAAATAAATGCTATGGAAACTATCCTGCAGGAGTCCTGGGAATCATCCTGGGCTCTTTGCTGGCATGTCCGTCATTGGCAGGACTAACAGACTGGAGGAGAAAAAAAAATTAGGGCCAATAGAGTTTCTGGAGTTCACCAGCAGGAGAATGTCACCTGAAAAGGCAAAGACTCCCCAAATGAACAGTACACAAGGTTTACATAGGTTTCAGGGAGTGAGGAGCCAGGTAGGGGGGCAGGATAAAATATGATTTATTAAGTTCCCTGTTGCTGGGACTAGAGGCTGGTCTGGCATAATAATGTTTTCACCCAGTTTTAGGGGTTAGGAATTTCTGCCAGAATGAGGCATAACATGATGAGGGGCAGAGGGTTTGGCTGTTTCTCAGGGAAACACTGCTGTACAACGCATCCTATTTTGGGTTACTTGTATCACAAGCACTGATGAGTGAGTACAGAGTCCTATGTGTGAGTATATTAAAGTGATTCTCAAAAGGGAGCAGCTCTGTATCCACACTCTTTCCCTAAGGAGAACTAAATTAGAAGTTTCTCTCCATGCTTGTTCTTATTCCCCATGCCCAGGGCTTCCAGTTCCCAGAGAAGATGTGGTCTCTTATTTTGAGCAAAGGGAAGCACCGTGGATGCTGGAGCAAGAAGGCCTGAAGAGCTGCTGTCCAGGTGAGTGCAGTGAAGGCAGGTATATGAGAGCTGTGATTACAAGAGACTTCTAGGTATTGTGATAAAATGCTAGATTTGGGTGCTGGAAAACCTGCCTTGCAATTCTTTTTCAGATGTTTTTTAGCAGTGGCTTCTTTGGCCAGTTACTGAACCATGGCACCTCAGTTTCCCCATCTGTAAAATGAGGGGGTTGGACTCCATGGCCTTTCAGCTACCTTCTAGGGATAAATCTCTGATTGTGTAAAGAAGTCATTATTTGGAATTTGGGGGCATGGAATTTTCCTGGAAATGCTAAAGCGGCTAGACTCTCCAATATGAGCTCTTTCTTAGACTTTCTTCAAGTCAACAAACATTTATTAAGTGTAACCTGCATACCAAGCCCTGTCCTAAACACCAGGGACATAAAGAGACACAAGGGACATCCCTGGCTCTCATGCAGCTCACAGTTTGGTGGGGCAGATGACACTCCAACAACTATGTAGAAACCCACTATAGACAGGCTAAATTGGCAAAAGGGATGGTGAGAAAAAAAACCATGGAGTCAGGAGGTGGAGTGTCCTGTTCACAGAACAGAAAGGAGGTCCACACTACTGGATTATAGCATATAGGAGGGGAAACAGGGTGAAAGAAGACTGGCAGAGTGGGAGAGGGGAGATGATAAAGTGTTCTAGCAGCCTAGGGAGGATTCTATATTGGGTCCTTTTACTGGGGAGCTATAGGAGGTTGTTGAGTGGGTGGACATGGTCAGGTGAGAGCTTCAGGAAGATGAACTTCACAGCTGGGTGGAGGAGTGATTGGACTCGGGGGAGATGAGGCAGCTGGACCAACCAGCAGGCTCTGAAATACCCCAGGTATGAGGTGACTGGGGTCAGAACCAAGACAGTGACAGTGTTGAGACAGAAAAGCGTACATGTAAGAGATGTGTGTAACTTTGCAACAGATTGAATATGGATGTAGGGAGTATGAATCTGTGAGAGTCATGAGGAATGCAAGACACTTCATTTATGAGCCTGGCCTATTGGAAGGATGCCTCAGATAGTATTAGGAACATAAGAGGAAGGGAAGGTTATTCAAAGGAGAATGGGCTCACTTTGGATATGTTTGTGTACATGGAGATGTTTTGAGAAGAAGCATGAACCTCACTCATAGATGATTTAAACAGAAAACTGAAAAGGCTCACACATGTATGAAGTGGAAAATGGGAGGGGAATTGGACAGGGTCTCCTGCTCTGGGACAGAAATTCATTTTTTTGTTGTTTTTAGCTCCCTAAGCAGTCAATAAAATGAAGAACTGGTTATTATATAAAAGATTTATTCTTCTACTGGCTTATGACAAGTAATAAATTAAATGATAAATGCTGAAAGGACAATTCCACCTATTACTTTGTTTTGTATATTTTTTTTGAACAAATTTCATATTGAAAACCAACTTTGTAAAGGTAGAATTTCTTCAGACATAACTTCCTCTTTTCTATCACTGGCAAACTGGCTACAAACTCCACTGAATGACTAATGTGTTATCAACCAATTCCTTAGAGAAGCTGCCAGGGGAGACAAATAGCTACACAAGTGGAGGATAGGTTCAAATCGGAAAATGCCTTGGCATTGCAATGAGGGGCAATTTAAGGTCTGTTTTTGTAGAAAGGTCGTGGTGGTCCATGATGGTTTCCTTATGGCCTCTACTGTGCGTGTTCAGCAACCATGGTTCTCAAAGAGTCTGCCATCTCTGCTCTAAGAATGCAAACCCAAATAAGATCTTGATCTGGCGATTACAGCTTTGCTGTGCAATGTGTTTAGAAGGTAACCTAGGGATGAGAGAACTACTCTGGTGGAGAGACAGACACTCAGAGTATTTGCATGCCTGTGACCATTTGCACATGAATGTTCAATCCTTCTGGAGAGAATTTGACGTCAAGGGAAGGAACTGAAAGTGTGTGTCGCACTTAGAAGCAGTCAGAGTTTAATATAATTACTGCTTGATCCCCAGAAGCATCATATGCCTGATCATGCCAGTTCAGAATCACTGCAGAAAGAAGCCTGTTGTGGTTGAAACATGCACCTGCTTGTTGTCCCAGAGGAAACTGTCTTTGTAACACAATTGGGCTGTGATTTCCTGCTTATGTGCCAAATCCCGTGGACCGCCGTCCAGAACCTCCAAGGGCTGTGTGAGCCACTAAATGGGAGGGCTACTAGAAGATTCAGAGGGCAGCCTGCTGTGTACTTTCTTACAGAAGGACAATGACACAAGGTCCTGTATGAGACACACATTCTCAGACATGGGAAATGCCATGCATTTTTAAAGTTGTGTTTAGTACAAAAAATTTATTCTTATTTTACTGAGCAAAGGCATTTAAAGATGAATTTGTCAAAAGAAATAATTTAATGCCTATCCCAAAAAAAACTGAGCCAAAACAAGATCTCTTGTGCCTCAGGTAAATACAAAAACCAGTGTTGGCATTCATCAGGTGATCCCAGATACTGTAGCAAAAAAAAGAAAGAAAGAAAGAAAATGAAAGCAATCATCAGGAAAACTCCATTATGCTTACAGACATGATAGATGATGAAATAATATGAAGATTTAGCATATGTACACCAAATGGCATAATACTTATGAAGGAAGAATTAGACAGTGCAGACAGTGAAAGTGAAGAAGCAAGATCGAAAGTGAAGACAATCTTTCTAGAACTATGAACAGAACATGCCCAGTCATAAGGTTTGAGTTCTACTCTCAGCTGCTAGGATTGGCGTCAAGTCACTCAGCCATTCTGAGCTCGTGGCCTGAGTTATGAATGTGATGAGAATGCTTGCCCTGCCTGTGTAACAGGGTTGTTTGAGGATCCAGTGTTGTTGTGTATGAAGCTCTTTGTAAATTAAACCAGCCTTCAGATGTGAGCCAATGGCATTTCAAATGATTGATTCTGCCCATTTAGGTTTGAAGACTTCTCTTTGCCCAGGGAAATTAGAATGTAAGTCAGTTTACATTCTGCCAATGGAGGGAAGGGGATATTATTGTATATGTGACTGTGTATATATGTTTTTATTGTTTCTTTCAGAAAGAGAGATCAGACTTGAAATGAAAGAGATGCCTGCAAAGTTAAGCCTTTCTGTGGAAGGAACTCACAAGCAAAGATTCAGGAGTGATGGTCCCTGTGACTTCACTTGGAGAGAAATCTGTGCTGTACATCAGAGAATCTATACTGGGGAGAAACCTTATGAATGTATTCAGTGTGATAAAGCCTTCAGTCAGCAGTCATTCCTTATTTACCATCAAAAAATTCAGACTGGAGAGAAACCACATGAGTGTCATGAATGTGACCAAGCTTTTAGTGAACACTCATCCCTTATAATACAGCAGAGAATTCGCACCAGAAAGAAATCTTATGAATGTAATCAATGTGGAAAGACTTTCAGATTTAGGAACAATATTGCTGTACATGAGAGAATCCACACTGGAGAGAAACCTTATGAATGTAATCAATGTGGAAAGGCTTTTACACAAAGAGGCGGTCTTACTGTACATCAGAGAACCCACACGGGAGAGAAACGTTATGAATGTAATCAATGTGGAAAGACTTTCAGATGTAGCTCCAGTCTTCCTGTACATCAGAGAACCCACACTGGAGAGAAACTTTATGAATGTAATCTATGTGGAAAGACTTTTACACAGAAAGGTGGTCTTACTGTACATCAGAGAACTCACACTGGAGAGAAACGTTATGAATGCAATCAATGTGGAAAGACTTTCAGATACAGCTCTAGTCTTCCTGTACATCAGAGAGTCCACACTGGAGAGAAACCTTATGAATGTAATCAATGTGGAAAGGGTTTCAGATCCAGCTCCAGTCTTACTCAGCATTGGAGAATCCACACTGGAGAGAAACCATATGAATGTAATCAGTGTGGAAAGACTTTCATAAAGAGGGCCAGTCTTACTTTGCATTGCAGAATCCACACTGGGGAGAAACCTTATGAATGCAATCAATGCGGCAAGACTTTTGGATGCAGTACCAGGCTTGCTCTACATGAGAGAATCCACACTGGAGAGAAGCCTTATGAATGTAATCAGTGTGGAAAGGCTTTTACACAGAGGGCCAGTCTTGCTTTACATGAGAGAATCCATACAGGGGAGAAACCTTATAAATGTTATCAATGTGGAAAGGGTTTCAGATCCAGCACCAATCTTGCTGTACACCATAGAATCCACACTGGAGAGAAACCTTATCAATGTAATCATTGTGGAAAGACTTTTACCGAAAGGAGCAGTTATACTGTACATCAGAGAACCCACACTAAAGAGAAACCTTATAAATGTAATCAATGTGGAAAGGCTTTCACGCAGAGGGCCAGTCTTGATCATCATCAGAGAATCCACACTGGAGAGAAACCATATGAATGCAATCAATGTGAAAAGACTTTCAGATACAGCTCCAGTCTTACTGTACACCAGAGAATCCACACTGGAGAGAAACGTTATGAATGCAGTCAATGTGGAAAGACTTTTACAGAGAGGAGCAGTTTTACTGTACATCAGAGAACCCACACTGGAGAGAAACCTTTTGAATGTATTCAATGTGGAAAGACATTCAGAACCAGATCTGGCCTTGCTGTACATCAGAGAAACCACACTGGGGAAAAACCTTATAAATGTGATCAGTGTGGAAAGGCTTACCCTCAGAGGGCCAGTCTTGATCATCATCAGAGAATCCACACTGGAGAGAAACCTTATGAATGTAATCAATGTGGAAAGACTTTCACATGCCGCTCCAGTCTTACTGTACACCAGAGAATCCACACTGGAGAGAAACCTTATAAGTGTAATCAATGTGGAAAAACTTTTAGATGTAGTTCCAGTCTTCCTGTACATCAGAGAATCCACAATGGAGAGAAACCTTATGAATGTAATCAATGTAGAAAGACTTTTACACAGAGGGCTGGTCTTACTGTACATCAGAGAATCCACACTAGAGAAAAACCTTAGGAATGTAATCAATGTGGAAAAAACCATCCGAAAGAAAGAACCTTGCTGAACATCAGAGAATCCACACTGGACAACAACTTTAGGAATGTAGTCAATGTGGAAAAACTTTCAGATGTAGTTCCAGTGTTCCTGTACATCAGAGATTTCACAATGGAGAGAAATCTTATGAATGTAATCCATGTAGAATGGCTTTCACACAGTGGGCTGGTCTTATTATACATCAGATAATCCACACTGGAGAGAATTTTGGGAATGTAATCAATGTGGTCAAGGCTTCAGGAAAAAGTCAGCCCTTATTTCCCATCAGAGAATTCATAAGTGATAGAAATCTCTTTTTAAATAGTATTTTATTTTTTCCAATTATATGTAAAGACAACTTTCAACATTCATTTTTACAAAATTTTGAATTCCAAATTTTTCTCCCTCCCCTCTTCATAAAATGGTAAGCAGTTTGAGAAAGGTTGTATATGTGCAGTCATGTGAAATATATTTCCATATTAGTCATGCTGTGAAAGAAGAAACAGACCAAAGGAGAAAACCATGAAAAAAATAAAGTGAAAACAGTCTGCTTCCGTCTGCATTCAGAATCCATGAGTTCTTTCTCTGGAGGTGGACATCACGTTCCATCATGAGTCCCTTGGAACTGTCTTGGATCATGGTATGGCTGTGAAGAGCTAAGTCATTCACAATTGTTCAGTGTTGTTGAGAATGAGTGATAACTTGAGGGTAGCATTTAGGGTCTAGTAAAAAAGTCTTCAGGGATGGGGGAGACTGTCATGTTGGAAAGGAATCTGTTAGTGGGGAAAGGTTGAACATTTAGGGGGGTGGGGTGGGATGGTTGATGGTACCAAATGTGGAATGGGCAGAAGGGAGGGTATTTGTGAGAGAATAAAGGAAACAGGAATTGTTTTTGAGATGAATAGAAGGCGAACAGTTAACATTTAATAAGTGCCTATAATATGCTGGGCATTGTGCTTAGGCTAGTACAAAAAGAGGCAAACAACAATCTCTGCCCTCTGGGAGCTCCCAGTGGGGGGGGGGGGGAAGCAGTGGACAACAAGCAAATAAATGTGTGTGAACAAACTATAGGTGGAATACATAAGATATGATTAAGGGGGGGGGGGGGAAGCGCAGTGGTAGAGGCACCTGAATTAAGTAGAACTGGAAAAGGCTTCTTGTAGCAGGTGGCATTTTAGTTGGGACTTGGAGGAAAGCAGTGGACAGAGGAGAGAGAGAATTCCAACCATAGAGGACAGCCAGAGAATGCTCTGAGCTGAGAGATGAGTGTCTTCCTTGAAGAGCAAGGAGGTCAGTGTCATCAGATCAGTGGATGGAGGGCAGGAAGGAAGGTGTAAGAAGACTGGAAAAGTAGGTTATGTCTAGATTGTGAAGGGCTTCAAATGAAAGAGGATTTTGTATTTGATCCTGGAGGTGGAAGGGAACCACTGGAATAGGGGAGTGACATGGTCAGATCTGCAATTTAGGAAAATCATTTTCTTGGCCAAATGGAGGATGTGTGGGAGTGGGGAGAGTTTCAAGGCAGAGCAACCCACCAGGACATCCAATTCAAGGTATCTGAAACAAAGTTTGGGAGTTTTAAAATGAAAGAAGAGACAAGGTACCTGAAGAAGAGGGCAGCCAGTCGTCACCATAGTGCACGGAGTGCTAGGCCTGGAGTTAGGAAGCCTCATCTTCCTGAGTTCAAGTGTGTCCTCAGACATTTCCTGGGACCCTGTGTGATCTTGGAGAAGTCACTTAATCCTGTTTGTTTCAGTTTCCTCATTTGTAAAATGAGCTGGAGAAGGAAATGGCAAATCCTTGCCAAGAAAACCCCCAAATGGGGTCACGAAGAGTCAGACAGGACTTAAATGTCTGAACAACAAAAACCTGGAGGAGAGTGATTGGGGGGAAGTCAATAAACTTTTATTAAGCATTGTGGATCACAAACTGAGCACAACTCCTTCCATCTTGTATTAGCTCACCAATTAAAGGACCTCCTTACCACACTCCCCACCCCAATGACCCCTTCACAAGAATGCCCTGGGTAAAACTCTTCAGAGACTTCACAGACTCCCTGATTTCCGGAGCCATTCAGGGGAGGGTATCCTGGCGACTCAGGAGCTCTTGCAACTTCCTCTCCAAATTCCCTTTTGCCTGGAGCCTTCCCCCTTCCTTTGGTTGAAGTATCTCTATGCTTTGTCCTCTCATTACTTCCATAGTGCAGCAAACTCACTTTTTAGCAAAGTCAACAAACCCCCCCCAGATAAGTTTGATACTTTGTTATTCCTGTGTCACCCACTGCACCTAGGAGGCACCAGGGCCTTGGGGGAGATCAAGCCATCCCTAATTGTCTTTGGGAGGTAGGGATCCAGGGATCCAGCTTGAGCTGGTCAATTGTTGACAGACAATGAACAAGGTTCATTGGTTAAAGGTTCTCAGGTTAAATTGGTTAGTAAGGAAATGTCCCAGGGGATATAAGTGATTACATCTTTCCCTTTTAATTATACTTTTCAACCAATTCAAAGTAGAGCTGACTGCATTTTTTTTTAGTTCAGGCAAATTACAAAATCAATACAGCTTAAGATCAATTACATTGTAAAATCAATACAGTGGAAATCAAAGGTAATGTTCCTTTCGGTCTTCACAGATACACATATAAAAACCATCAACAGTGCCTAGCCTGCAGCTACAGACAATCTAATAGAGGAAGACAGTACTAAAAAGGAAGCTGGAAAGGGAGGTAGCTGAAGAGAAGGTGCCCGATTCAGGGGCACAGTAGAGAGATGAGTCAGAGAAATCCCAAAGAATGAAGCCTGGGGAAGAATGAGATGTCTGAGACCTCAGCAGAGGACTGGAGCTCATGGTGATTAAGGATGGATGTGGGAGGGTTAAGAGGGAAAGAGAACTGGAATAGTTTCTGTTGGGAGTGAGTAAGGGAAGCAATTAGAGATCCATTATCAATCACTAAAAAGACTATATTCCTATAATGAGAGCCCACACTATGAATCAGTGGTATGCAATGAAGAATTGTGACTCGATGCCAATGGAAAGGAAAGATTGATAAATTGTTGGGAATCTTAAAAAGTGGAAATGACCAATAAATTACTTAATTGTTCAAAAGTAAAATAGCAGGTCCCCTCAGTCTACCCTGGATGTCTCACCTAGAACTGGGCAGTAAGTGACAGGGCTTTCAGGTGCATCTGTTCCTGCACTTGCACAAGGTGAAGACCCTTATGCTGGATCTGGGACCCCTTCTTGGCCTGATGAACAGCTTTTCCTGAGCTGCAATGCTCAACAATGCCCCTCCTGGCTGGGCCCCTTTCTCTTCTCTCTCTCTCTCTCTCTCTCTCTCTCTCTCTCTCTCTCTCTCTCTCTCTCTCTCTTCTTCTCTCTCTCTCTCTATCTCTCTCTCTCTCTCTCTCTCTCACTCCCCCTTGGTCAGGAACAGTGCTTCATTGGGGTTCTTGGATTTCCCACTCAGGATTCAGGCAGGACCATGTTCTCCATCTCTTTTCAGGAGTTGTGGGAATGCTGGACTTGTTCTGTTTCCTTCTCCATCTTCCTTCTTAAAAGTTTTAAGTGGTGACTTTTATGGTCAGGTCAAGTCTCTGTTTTGAGTTCAAGGTAATGCATAGAAGCTGGGAGTTCAAACCTGATTTCTACCAAACTGCTTTCCAGTTTTCTACACAGAGCTTGTGAAAAAGGGGAATCCTTTCCCGGCCCATTTATGTTCTTAAATTTGTCAAATGCCAGGCCACTGCATTCAATTGCTTTGGTTTTTTTTTTTACCTAGTTTGTACCCTTTCATCTTGTAAGAACTGATGCAGAGACTAATCAGTAGAACTATGATAACCATATACAGTGTATATTATACAAACCCAATGATGCAGTAATGTAAATGGAAAGACTAAGTCTAGTAGACCTCTGAGTAACTGTATCAAATAATGGATGTCTCTGAGAGCAAAAGATGGGCCCCATCAAGAGGCCCAGGGGACTCACTACCAGGGTAGAAGTTTTCTCCACTAGCAAATGTGCCTGTGGGATTGAATTCTCTGTCTCAGTTATTTTTCTTTGTCACCGGAGAGAATTCATCTGGAAGGAGAAAGTTTCTCTCCCCTCTGGTATAAAGACAAAATACATCAATAAAGTATCAAAGGGAAGGAAGATGAGGAGGCTCAGAGTTAAAACATTGCTTTATGTGAGGCAATTTATAGTTGATGGTATTCCCAATAACTTTAATTGATGTGGGAAAGGGTTTAACCAACCTTTAGTTTTGTTTTCACCATCAGACAAGTCTGGGTAGAGAAGGGCCTTGTGAATGTGATCACTGCAGGAAGGCTTTAGGCTTGAGCCCTTTCTGGCACCTAGGAAGCCCCCACTCTAGATCTGCCTCATTTCTGGAATGTTGGAGGAAAACACCACCTGTGAAATTGGGAGAGGGTGACCAAGCCAGCCCACCTCTAGAAGGAGGCTCTCAGTGTGGTAGACGCCTTGGTGGACATTCTCCCCTGGATGAATGTTTACAACCTGTGGGTGCACTTGATTGCAGCGTTTGAACCTTGCCTGTGTAGCTCAGAGACTGGACTTGTTTGTGGCTTTGAGACCAGATTTGCTGCCTAATGGGGATGTGCAGGTCGTGCTGAGCCCAGAAACCTTTCAGGGGGTCCTGAGATGGAGCCAAGGGATTTTCTGCGGTAGAACTTTTAACTTTTAAGAACTTTTAAGCTTAACTTTTAAACTGTATGCCATACTTGGAAGCTGCCTTGGAGCTGGCCGCTTAGCTGTCCTATGCTTGTTTCTGGGTCTGAACTCTATAGAATGTAAAACTTATGGAGGGTCAGGGAGCAACCCCCTATTTTGGCTCTCACCTCTGCCAGAGGACTTAATAAACCTCTTTCCAAAACCTTCTCCCTGATGTCATGGTTCTCTTCAAGGATGAAGGACAAACAAACGGCAACTTCAAAAGCAGATGTGTAAATGTGTATCAGCATGTGTGTATTTGTGTGTGCATGTGCAGATGTGTGTACACATGTTTGTGTATTAGCTGATCTACTAAAAAAAAGACTGTTTTAGAATGGAAATATAGTTAGTTCAGCAGAGAAATAAGGGAATACAAGTAGTGAGGATAATAATAACAGTTTAAGAAATAGAGCAGAATTGGCAGGAGCAGGAAATAATAAAAATCAAAATAATAGCTGACATTTACATAGCACCTTCTATGTGCCATGCACTGTGCTTTGTGAGTGAAATGGAATTTCAGTAACTGAAAAGAAACCAGAGATCCACAAATTCAGAGACATCTCCACCCCCAATGTTTACATGGACTATTTGTGCCTGAGCTGTGGGAGAGCCTTCCAACCTCACATTGGTCTAA